TATATATATTGTATTTATATATACATAATAAATATACACAGTATATACACATATTTTATGTAAACAAAAACTTTTATTTTGGATGCGATTAATCGTTTGACAGCACTAATATATATATCTTATCTTATATATATATATATATATATATATATAAGAATGCAAATTTAAAATGAAAAAGTCTGACTTTTTACCCGATTCATGTAAAGTCCCAACAGCACAAACTGCATAGCATGAAATCAACACAGAAGTAGTAGCATGCTGAACTGGATAATGGTATCGTTGTTTCAAATGTTTTTATATTTGAATGACACTATAGTTATCAGTCTTACCTGGGCTCAGTGGAACTGCGGGGTTCAGTGGCACCCTCTGCTGGTAAGGCTGAAGCGGTGGCAGAGGACTCTTCTGTTTCCAGCCTGCTGTAGAGCTGCAGAAGCTCAGTCTGCAGAGCCAGAGTTACCCACCTCTGTGCCTGATATCTGCTTTCAGAGGCCTGCAGTTCCCCTCTGAGTGAAAGGCAAATAAGAAAGATTGTGAGACATATTGTGAAATGATGGAATATTAAACAAGAAAGCATACTATACAGTAAACTGAGGGTAAGCTTTGTGTTTCAAAGAGTCAATAAACGCAAATACAAGTTGTTAGTATGCTATAAACAGTCTTCAAATATACCAAAACTGATCTTACTTGGCCTGAGCCTTGACATCTTCTAGAAACTTCTTTTGTTCTGCGATTAGGTGCTCTTTCTTAGCAAGTTGAGTCTCCAGCTCTGCCACTCTCTGCTGAGCAGCATCCAGCTTTTGGCTCTGAAGTAACAGATTCTGCTTTAGATGCTCCGTCTCTTTCCCCCAGGATGTCTGCAACATCTGCACCTCCTACAAGAGAGAAGTGGTCAAAGACAAAGAGGAATATGACATAAATCGCAAAGATGAAAGAACACTGGGCTTCTTGTTCTTTTGACTTGTACCTTGCTAGTATCTGGTCCGGCCTGATGCAGCTCCTGAACACACAGTTTATGGGCTTCTCCTAGCAGCAGCAGCTGCTTATTTAGAAAACTCAACTGCTGCTGAATACTTTCACTCGATGATAACTGAAGAAAGGATAAATTAGGGGAAGAAAATGATGATATATAATCACAACGTATTCAAAATATTTAAAGGGAACATTCACACCAAAATTACAAATGATCATTTACTTCAGAAAATAGACTCAAATGGACTAAAAGATATGGGATTGGCTCTTTTTGGAGCTCAAGAGACAGAGGGTGATTATTTTTACCTTGGCAGTGAGCTGGTTCAGCAGGTGCCCTGTGTGGCACACCTTGTTGTTCGCCTTCTGAAGCTCCGCCTCCATCTCACCTATTCGCTTCTGGCATTCTTGTAGTTTACTCTGATTGGAGGATCACAGGTGCATACTGATTCTAAACTGCAATGTTGTGGCCAACTCATTTACTATTAAATTACATACTGTACACTACAGCTTCAAGGTTTGGGCTTAGAAAGATTTGAAAAAAAAAAAAAATCTAATTTATTAGCACCTGTAACTCCTGGTTTTTGGTGTAGTAGTCATCCCTGGCCTGTTGTAGTTGGCGTATCTGGCTGTGCAGACGTGTAACCACAGTCTCTCGGTCGTCCCAGAGCTGCCGGTATCTCTGCTGCTCTACCTGCAGGCTCTCTCTCAAAGACATGATATCCACACTCTGCAGGTTCAGCTGGTCCTTCTGTAGAAACAAACACATTCATACAATCAACTCCATTGGTTTCTGCTGCCCTCTAGTGGTCAAGGTGAATATCAGGGACCAGCAAACCAGCCTTGCCAAAAAGAAAACATTTCACAGTTCACCATTTTATATCTAGTAACAGAAGACTCGATATGAATGTTGGCCCGCAGACCATGACTCTGAGCTGAGGTTACCATGGCGTTATTCTGCTCCTCGAGTGCGGTGGCATTGATGATGCGCCGAAGCAGGCGTCGGTTGCGTATGGCGTGCTGCTCTCGCTTGTAGCGCTCGTACAGGAGCTGGTTGTGTAACAGCAGCAGCTGACTGCGCAGTGTGTGCAGCTCGTCCAGAGGAGCAGAACCTGTGCATGAGAAAATAGAAGAAAGATTTCTACATAACTCATACATTAAAAAAATAGAGTAAGAGCTTGTTCAGTCTTAAGCATTCAAATAATTGTTTTGGGGGGTTTTCACCATTTTTTTTTATTCATTCTGCCAGCAAAGTGCATTTCTTACTTAGTTGACATCCATTCAAAAGTAGCTGTTTTCAAGCAAAATATAAAATCAAAAATATTTCCTTTAAAGGAGATGTTTTACCACGTTTGCTCAACTTTTTGCAGGTCTCTTACACTTAAAAAGGTTTTCAGGTATTCACATTAATGTATAATCAGCATGAGCTGATTAATGACACTACTGTCTTTCTTAGAGCTTCTTTACAGCAGAATTTGAATTTTTTCATATTTGATAAAATATAAACAATTGATTCTGTTATTTTTCTTTTTATTAATGTGAAGCTGCTTTGAAACTATCTGTTTTGTATCAATGGCTATGTAAATAAAGGTGCTTTTATCTATGATTTACTTATTGCACAACCAAAAGTGTCTGATAATAGGGGTGGGGTCTGCCGAGGAGATTTTAAATGGAAACAATTACCAAGTTCACACTAAAATGAAAATTCTGTCATCATTTAGTCAACCTCATGCCTTTCTTTTTTCTGTGGAGCATAAAAGAAAGTATTTTAAGAAATGTCTTAGTGTAATTGAATGGGATGTGAAACTGTTGGATTACCAACATTCTTTAAAATATCTTCTTTCATACTTTGCAGAAGTAAGCAAGTCATGTAGGTTGGAAAATGATGACAGAATATTCATTTTTAGGTTTATTTATTTTTAGGTTTAAACATTTATTTTTAAATGTTTATCCCCTAGCTGAAAACACAGCATTGTTTCTCTGTACTCTGAAAGAACTACTTTTCCACAAGTAGCGAATGTGTGCTCATGTAATGTTGTTTACCTCCAAAGTGTGTCCAGTCAGCTGACTTGCTTGGCAGAGGCAATCTGAGAGCGATTGTGGAAGAGTTGGAAGAAAAGGAAGGGAGAAAACACAGGATCAACAAGGTCAGTGGCAATGTGACAATAATTTCGGACACACTGCTTTTCTGGCAGAGGAAGCCTTTCCACACAGAACCCTCTCTGACCAGAGCCAAAACACCTCAATTTGTGTGAGCCCAGTAACCCAACTCAAATATGTGTCTTCTAGTAAGGCCTGTGCAGGGCAGGAGGAGAGAGAAAGAGCTCTGATTGTGTTCTGTTAACACAGGCTCTGCTGTTGCACTGTGGACTGATTTGTGTGGCAGTGGATGTGACACGGGACAATGCAGACAGTTGTTTCAGTGTGATAGCGAGTTAGTGGGCAAATCTGCAACTAGTCTGACCCAGTTCTTCCTAAAATAAAGAGCCTTAGAGCAACACCAGCAGCCCTTTAGCAAGTCTTCTAGTTTGGAAACTGTAAAGTAAACTAGATTGTTTACATATTCTAAAGAAAACGAGTTATTCTTGTTGTGCGTAAACCTCATCACGAGGAAGGAGTTCTGAGAGACTGTTAGCAAGTTGCTACTTGATTGCTAAGATGTTCCAGTTGGTTGTTAGCATGTAGCTATGTGGTCATTCCGGATGATTGCTATGGTGTTATCAGGTGGTTGTTAGTCTATTAAGCCGTTAAGGTGTTTCGGATGATTGTTAGCATGTTGCTAATGTGCCCTTTGTGTGGAGTCAGAAATTTCATAATTACAAGTTCTGAGCACATGAATGACTGAGTAAATGTGAGAAACGTAATTCTCTGCCCCATATTACTCAAGTATGTCTTTATTGGCTGATTTTGGCATGTCACACCTTTGGTGGATGCTTGGTAAATCTGGTTAGGGTTTACAAACTGCAGTTAAAGTGATAGTTCATCCAAAAATTAAAATTAATAATTTACACTTCTTCATGTCATTCCAAACCCACAAGACTTTGGTTAATCTTCGAAACTCAAATGAAGATATTTTTATTTAATGAAAGCTAAGAGGTTTCTGTACCTCCATTGAAATTCCAAGTAAACAAAACTTAAAAGATTCAAAAAGGTTATGATGGCGTTGCAAAACGAAACCACATAAATCCAAGCAGTTTAATCCAAGTCTTGTGAAGAGATACGATCGCTTTATATGCTTTATATACATCTAACCAAGGATGAGAGAATTTTTGTTTCATTTTAAAGGGATAGCTCACCCAAAAATGAAAATTCTGTCATTATTTACTCATCCTCATGTCGTTCCAAATCCAAACCCAAACGACCTCCGTTCATCTTCGGAACACAAATTAAGATATTTTTGGCAATTTACGTTCAGTGGATACCCTCCAAAATGGCGCTAGGGTGACGCGGAGGAGACAAATTGTTGAATAAAGTCGTTATTATTTTTTTCTTTTCAGCACAAAAAGTATTCTCGTAGCTTTGTAAAATTACGGTTGAACCCCTGATGTCACATGGATTATTTTACCGATGTCCTTGCTATGTTTCTGGACCTTGATCGTGTAAGGACCCTTGCTGTCTATGAGAGGGTCAGACAGCTCTCAGATTCCTTCAAAAATATTTTAATTTGTGTTCCGAAGATGAACGAAGGTCTTACGGGTTTGGAACAACATGAGGATGAGTAATTAATGACAAAATTTTCATTTTGGGGTGAACTATCCCTTTAATGCCTTGCAGGGTTCGAACCTTCAACCTTTTGATTGTAAGCTCAGATCTTTAACCACCAAGCCACATGATCAAGAGTTATTGCAAACCTTGAAAGCAAAAGGCTTACCTCTTTAACACTTTGTCATGGGCGTCACCGCCCTGCTGCACGAGGCGATCCAGCACCTCCAAGGGGGAGGCAGACACTGCCCCCTCAACACCCACCTCCTCCCCTTGTTTGCCCACATCACCTCTCTGTATCCTCTCCAAGGCTTCTCGCTGCACAATCTCTGAGGTCTTCCTCCCTACGAAGAGAGAGGCTGCCCGAGGCAGGGCCAGGTCAAACAGAGCCTCATATGGCAGGGGTGGTGGCTTGCATGGGCTCGGGGAGCACAAGCCGTATTTAAGTGCCTCATCCTCTGGTGCGGAGGGGCTCCGATGAAGTTGGCTGTGCGTTGGGTGCTCGATGGGCATGAACACTGGCTGAAAGGACCAGGGATGCTCCTGGGATGGGCCTCTGCTGACTCTGCCTCTGTCCCCAGGCGTGATCTCAGTCTTGTCGGGTGTGGAGATTGCGTTGTGAGGGTCTCTAATCGAGCTGCCCAGGATAGAAGAGGGCAGTGGTTTCTCTTGCGCTCCGGTCAGGGTCTCTGTGGTGCTGAAAAATGGAGAGTCAAAGCCACGAAGGCCAGCTAAATCCCGCTTTTCTTCGGTTAACTTCAAAAGCTCCTCTGTGATGGCAGCTGAGAGGATGGAAAATAGAAAATTATATAAGGATATTTCCAGAGCTTAATGGTTTAGTTAGTCTGTCAGGAAAAGACACAACTGGTATGAAGCGACTCAAAATACAGCACAGGCTACACACAACCATTGAGTGCTAGTTCATACCATCCTCCCGCTCTTTCTCCATCCTCAGCTGTTCTTGCTCCTTCATGTACACAGAGAGCTCGGTCAGGGTCATGGGCATGTTCTCACCTCTGCCATCTGGGTCAGATAAAAGACAAACCATGTTGACTTTCATTTTACAATTTTACATTTTTTAATCATCTTTTACCTCTGCCATCTGGGTCAGATAAAAGACAAACTATGCTAATTTTCATTTTACAATTTTACATTTTTTAATCATCTTTTACCTCTGCAATCTGGGTCAGATAAAAGACAAATTCTTAATAATGACACATCTACAGGCCAATTCACAATTTTTTTTTTACTATATTATGGAAGCTTGTTTCTACCACAGGATGAAAAAAATAAAAAAAGGTAAATCTTTATCATAATATTCTTTAAATATCTTTTATCTCATAATTTTGACTTTTTTTCTTGTAATTCTGAGAATTTATTTTTCAGAATTGCAAGATATAAATTCAGAATTGCGAAAATAAGTCAGAATTGTGAGATATAAAAAATATGCAAGATTAAAAGTCGCAATTACATAAAAAAACATACTTGCGCGATATATATGAATATCAGAATTGCAAGATATAATCTCAGAACTGTTCAACTCAACTTAAATTTCTCTCTCGCAATTCTGACTTTTTTTCTAAAAATTGTGAGAAAAAAAGTCTGAATTATGAGATAAAAAGTCGCATTTACCTTTTTTTTAATTCCTTGGCAGAAACAGGCTCCCATAGTATATTGTATAGCCTCAATAACTTAATGCACTTATAATAACTGTTTATTATAACTGCGTGCTGCAGTTATGTCATTTGCTGCTTTAAATGCTCAAACTTTTAAAAGTCAGATTGATTCTGATTGGCTGTAAACAGTTGTATTGTTCATCAGCTGGAAAAAAAAATCGTTCTGAAAGTGATTCCAATGATATTCCTCTGTGTAGTTATCGTTATAGTCATGGTGGTCTTCCCTATTGCCTTTTCTGCTTGGCACTTTAAAATGTTAACCAAAGGCTAAAGAAATAGTTAAACTAACTTTTTAAAGAGAATTAAACCTTTAATTTATTGTCAGGCTGTTGTGTTGGTAATGTCAAAATACAATTCTTGTTTTGAGTGATTCTTACATGTAACATACCTCTATGATTGATCATGTCAGGTCCAGTTTTCTCAAGCTCTCTGTCTGGCTCCTGTCTGACCGGCTCCTGTCTGACCAAAACAGGTTTGGTGTGGTCTAAAGGTCTACCATCCTAAAGAGCACATAACAGTTAAAATGGTTTATAGTGAAACTATACACAAGCAAAATGGTCTCAAACTTGTTTTAAAAAAAGTGTAAAATTTGTTTTAACAAGTTAAGGAAGCCTTAAAGGGATAGTTCACTCAAAAATGAAAATTCTATCATCATTAAAGAATGTTTTAACTATTTTTGTACAATAAATGTCAAAACCATGCTGACTTTCATTTAAAAAATTTTAAATAATTCTTTACAATTTTAAAAATATCTACAGAAGAAAAATAGAGTCATAGAGGTTTTTGACACGAGTCAATTATAACAGAATTTTCATTTTTGGGTGAACTATCTTTTTAAGGGAATACTACAGATCCACACAAAAGATCATCCTCCACAAAAGTACCTTGCATGGTGGGCTGGCGGTACTGCGAAGAAGAGACACAGAGGGAAACTCATCAGGGAGGCTGGGAGGAGGTGAGGCGGCCGCAGGGGTGCTAAAGGACGGGGTGCCTTTTCCACCTGCTGCAGTGAAGATGACAAGACCAAATTCATACTAGTGCCTAAGGAAACGGAGACCCAGATGTGCCTACCTGTGCCAACATGCTAAATGTCAATATTGTCTGTGAACAAGCATAGTCAGTATAGTCACCAGGTGTGCTGTAGAGGCGGATTGGTAGGTGAGAGGCACTCTGGGACAGTTCCGGGTTTGGTGACATCCCACGGGAGGAAGGGGGCGTGGCCATGCCACATTGAGATGAGGGGCTCCAGAGGGAATCCTTAAAGCCATATGTGGCATTAAATTCACAGCTGGAGTTCTATAAATAAACACAAGCACACACAAAGTCCCATAAGTCCCATGACTGCTCATGCAGAATCCAGTGATTATCAGACGGCATCTAATAGATTTATGCTTTATCCATCCAAAACAACCAGTTCACAAAATGTAAACTTTTGTCAGCAATTTCAAAGTGTAGTATATTTTGCACCAGCATGTGGCATAGTGAACAGTGTAATAAAGCACAATTTATTGGCACCATACTGCTTATGGGCCAATATTGCATATTTTTTATCGGCCAATATTGCCAATATTTAAATGTTTCTACTTATTTTAAGATTGAGATCATCATCTAGCACTAACTTCAAGTTTAACTACATAAGAGCACTAGATCTTGAAAAGCAATTTCCTATTTAGAGAGATGCTGTGTGAGCTCTATTTCAATATATATATGGCATATATTTATATGGCAATCAAATCGCTATCAGCAAATCACAGTTTTAAAATAATCGTTATCTGCATCATCCTCTAATTTCCAGATCAATGCACCCCTAATAGAAAGTATTTTCCAAATCACAACAAAACTGTGAGAACATAATCTTTAATTGTGAGAAAAGCATTAACATTGGACCAAATGTGCTCATTAGAACACAAACGCAATGCTGTTTGTTTTCAGTCTGCGGAGCGTTCAGCAGAATAAAGGTCCTGACCGTGGGAGGTAACAGACTAGGAGAAAGAGCTCCAGCGTCATTCACGTCACCAAGACAACCGTTTCTGCGTCAGCTAAGAGATGGCATGTTTTTCTCTTTTTAAAGCCCTGCACACCCACCGGAATGACTCAACACCTCTCCCCTCCTTTCCTCTCAGCTCCTCAGCCTGCCTGGAGAACAAGGAGATGATTCATGGTGGGAGAAGGAGGGGGAGCTTTGGTGTGCAGCGGGTAGGGAGGGGTTCAGGGATGGGTGATTTATGGACAACAGCTGACAAACAACAAGAGGGAGGAGGGAAGCAGACGCCGATTCCTGCACTGGTGCTGCTTCACAAACGAATGTGCCAACTACCAACCCAGATCTGTTTATATGTAGAACACTGAGTCACTGGATTCAAACAGGTAGTTCCACACAAAACTCATGCTCCAACATTGCAACTAGGCTGCTAAAACCAACAAATTATAAACTGCAAACTAAGAAGTGGATTGTAGATTTCAGAGCATGGTGGACTCTCACCTGCCGACGGGTTCCAGTGGGGCTGCGATAGGGGGGCTGAGTGCCTGAGAAAGAAGACAGGGCCAAAGGAGGGACGACAGGCTGACGAGGGGTGGAGAAATGAGTCGAGGAAGAACTTCCTGGAAAAGGACAGAAAAATAATGTCCACAAAAAACATCCTGCCACTGCTACAAAAACAGAGTTTGCCTGAAAATAGACTGTGACTGAATTAACATGCTAGTTTTTATCTTACCTAGCTTAATTTCCTATTACATTTTATACATATGGCATATGCCAGTAGACGTGCCCCAGTAGAGTGAGAGTGGGCAGGCGACAGGGGGCTTTAGCCATGCATTCATTCATTTTATCAAAAAGGTGCTGAAAAACAGAAAAGACAGATAAGTCATCTTATAGACAAGACTCGGAACGGTTGATAATGTGTTCTCTGCCCTAGACATTTATTACTGTTATCAAATATTAATGTATTTAAATAGTAATACTCCTTAAACATAAATTTAAATTAAGCTTCTTAAATTTGTTAATATTTCACAGGTGTTTTTTTATTCTAAGAATGTGGGCTGGTCGCATATTATACACACCTACAGTATGTGCTCCAATGATCATACTTTTGAAAAGTGAAGTGTGTAATATTTGCATTAATAGTGGGAACTAATTTGGACTGCATTACATTGAGATATATATTATGATATAAAAAAACAGATGATTTGAATAGTTTTATTTGGAAATGATTTGTAATTCTAGAATGATTGGGTTTTATTTTGTAGGGTAAGTGCACCTGCAAAAAATATATTTTAAAAGGCTGATTTATTGATATATTTATTTTTATTTTTACTCCGATAACGTTTTGAGTGCAAACAATGCTTTTAGGGCTGAATGATTTGGGAAACATTTGAAAAATGTGGGCGTTCACATTTCACACTTTATTCCTTTTTTACAGCGAAGATATAAAATAATAACTTTTAACTGAACGCAAGCATAGTCCATGAATAATTATTTGCATGAAATAATTGATTATTTTAAGTTTTTTTCTCTCAATACAAGTAGTTGATTTTATTTCAAAAATAGTTGATTTTATGTCAAAAACATAGAGTAAGACAAATGTATTTTCTATAGCTTGTTTTTGGTTTCAAACAACCAGTCTAAAACAGAGTTTAAAAAAAAATCTCTCCATTTCAGTTATCATAGGCCACATTCCAACTGTTTTTGACTCACTCAGTATTACTATAAAATAACGATGACAATTTTTTTTGTGAAAATTTTAAACAAAATAAGAATCATGTTGTTATAATAATACTGTACTATAAAATAAAAAATTGAGTATTTAATAATAAAAATAATATTTTTATTTATTGCACAACCGTAAATTAAAATACTAATGTTAATTTTCAAAGGTTATACTATAACGCTTTTAATTTGGCAGAAAACCTCGGGGAAAATGGTTTGAGTGAGACACACTGAAAAGATCCAGAAAAAGACTGAGAACATTCTCTTCTGGGTAGCAAGTTTAGACTGTGTTAGAAACAAAACAGAAAAATCAGTGGACTGTCAGTCACCTTATCGTGTGGCTCCCTCACTGAGGACAGGATGTGCACTGCCTGGGCGGAGTTGGTCTCCAAGAAATAATCCACCAAGCAGTTCAGCAGCACAGACCCTCGATCTGCAAAACATGAGTCGATTTTATAATGTCAGTCATGCAATAAAACACTGCAGGGAATTATAATGCATCCTGTAGCAAACATTGAGAAGTTTAAAAATTCAACACAAAAACTGGGTAAAAGTTCCAGAGGCTGCCTCTGCTAACAGTATTTGGCTGGACCTGTGCTGAGGTGTTCATTGATAAGGCCCTTGATCTCATCCAGCTGGCGGAGGTCAGAGGTCTCCAGCAGAGGAAGCAGGTCCCCCACGCTGAGCTGTTCCCTGGACATGGTGGTATGGAGGGTTTGGAGGCGGGCGTCTCTGAAACAGTCTAGGGAGAGGGGAAGGACTCTTAGACGTCACTCTCACGGCGTCCCGTGTCCTGTCCAGCCTGGAGGGGTCCCTGGGCCGGCCCGTCAATACAGTCCCCAGGCACCACTACAAAACACATTTAAGGACTTACATCACTTGTCTAGAAACACCTGTCTCAATGAAATATTCATGAGAACATTTTGCAGTTTCTACCTTGAAGTAAACTTTCCAATTGAGAGTGAGAAAACACTGCAAGATGTGTAGGAAAATTCCCACAGAATTATGCCATTATAAACATAATTAACATCAGCTGTGGTAATGTGGGCTGGCCGTTTCAGACAAGTAAAAAACAAACCCAACAGATTCTGAAGCATTCAAGATTCACATGATGCGACCTGTTCTTGCACAGACATGACAAAAGTCAGCAGTTGTCACACCAGCCTGACAACATCAGGTTAAATATAAAAAAAAAAAAAAAAAAAAACTCATAATAAGACCAGAGGAATGTGACACGTCTCAGTGGCCTGATTAGAATATACTACACACCACAAGAGCAGTGTATCACGTTAAGCACATGGAGTGATAAAGTAGCATGTTAAGGGCTAAAACAGTCAACTATATTATTTTTGCATGTACTATTGGGCCAGTGGCTCAAATATTTATACTGTTTAAGTGTTTTCTATTTTAATAAATTTTTTAATGTGATTTATTCATGTGACAGCAAAGCTGAATTTTTTGCAGCCATTCTAATATGCTGATTTTGAGCTCAATAATTTTTTTTTTATCATCAATGTTGAAAACTGTTGTGATGCTTTGTATTTTTGTGCAAAACCATGATATATTTTTTCAGGATTCTTTCATTAATAAAAAGTTCCAAAGAACAGCATTTATTTGAAATAGAAATGTTATGTGCCATTACAAATGTCTTTACTGTCACTTTTAATGTTCCTGTGGCTCAGTGGTAGAGCATTGCGTTAGCAGCGCAAAAGGACGTGGGTTCAATTCCCATATACTGGTAAAAAATGTATAGTCTGAATGCACTGTAAGTCGCTTTGGATAAAAGTGTCTGCTAAATGCATACATTTTTAAACAGTTTAAAGCATCCTTGCTGAAAAATAAATCAGCAGTTTACAAGAATTATATAAAATAATTCGCAGAAATACAAGTAATTGTTGATGACTGAATGATTATAAAATGAGTGAATAGTTGGCAAGGCCAAAAAAAAAAAAAGTAAAAAAAAAACTATACATGACCAAGAAATGCAAAATGCGGTAAAAATGCAAATCTTTGTCAGCTAGTAACAATTCCATCAACTGGCACAAAAGGCTCTCTCACTAGCCCCAATGTTTAAAGGCAGATTATCAGGATGTTGTCTTCCCCATATAATAGATATTCTTCATTGAATTTGACGCTGAAAGGTCTGTCACATTCCCACAGCAATAACTTCCTTCAGGTTTGGGTCTAAAATGTGAAGAAAGGTGATGGCAAGCTGACCTCTCAATGGAAATAACTCTGCACAGCAGATGCAAAGAAGTACATTGATTAACTTCATGATCGAAGCCCACAAACTAAGAGCATGCATTGCATTCAGGGAGAAAAAAACACTAAAAAAATAAGATGAAGTTTTGGACGACCTCAACACGAACTGTGTCTGTGCCTGCCAACTAGAAAACAGAGCAGTTAACAGCACAAAGAAGCTTTATATGCCATGTTCAGGGCCACATAAACAAATTCCTTAAAGAGGTTGTGTATACACATCCATACAGAAGTAGAGAAATGTGCATTGTTTAAATTAACTTTAAATAAAAAATTTAAGAATATTGTTAAAATTATATATATATATATATATATATATATATATATATACACACACACACTCTCTAACGGTAAGTTCTTAAATTACAAGACATAAGAGTCAGTGCAAATAACGCCGATATGCAATGATCACAAAATAAAAATAAGGCAATGCTTGAGACTGCACTGCATGATTTAACTGCAAAATTATTTCTGTTTAAAAACACGCGCAAGGGCGTGCAACAGTCAGCAAATCTCACAACATATGTCTGTATTTTAACCTCTGCATGCTGCAAAATAACAGTGCACACATGTGCAGATAGATGTTGTGGATTAGGCTGCAAGCTCTGACAGCAGCTCTGTGTTGAAATGACCACTGGCGTAAACAGCGCGCGAGAACAATGGCCAGAATCTGCGGGACTGTCTCCAAAAAAATGCACCAACAAAATGAAACATTCCCCCATGCATTTCAACTTCACTCTTAAACTCGTGCATATGCACGCGGACATTTGTTGGGATTCAATTCGAAACTGTAACAATCATTGGGGACTATTATTTCACTGACACTGACAGTCCCAGGCAAGAGAGCCTTATTATCGACAAGCTTAGTGAAAATCAGAAATAACGCTTGAGAGACTACATAACGCACGTAAAATACTGAGGAGCGAGCAAATCTAACATTCCAACTGTCACTGTGTATAATGTGAAAATATCACCACAAAAAAACATCGTTTAATAAGTCTGTTTACCTGTTAGAGCAACTGCACGCCACAGGGCGCCGCCATCTTGAACACCTCACAACCCCTCCCTGCGCGGTCACCATCCGCAACCGTGCAAGAGAAATAATCCCCGAGCGCTCAAAAACACGGCTGTACCTGGACGCAGAACATTGACATATGACGTGAATGTTGTCAGAAATGAACAGCAGTCATGCTTTATAAATACAGTGAATTGTAGCGGTAGTAAGACTCATGTGTGAAAGTTTTACAGAATCCTGCAGTTAGGCCCGGGATGGTTTCGATCCATCGACCTCTGGGTTATGGGCCCAGCACGCTTCCGCTGCGCCACTCTGCTCGACGACAAAACAGGTAAAATACTCTGTAATGACACCTTTATGAGTCAAAACATTATATACAGTCCTCTCTATCATAGAATTTGCGGTTTTGAGTAAATCAGCCTGTCAAAGAAATGGACATTTATAATTAAATCTACTTTATGCAAGTTAGGGCTTTCAGCAAAAAGTTCTATATTTTAAAAAAAACTGACCAGTAACGTTAATCTTTAAATGAACAATGTTGAGTGGATCAAAACGCGCCAGGAGTACAGACACTCAATAAATAAACATCTAAGAATCTTCCAGCGCTTAGTTTTAGCTACAAACAATGAGTTAATAGCTTAATTGTGCTTTTATAATCAAAGACCTCATAAAAACGCCTAAGGCTGCAACCAAAACACAACTGTGCAAATAAAAGTTAGCAAACATTCGGAGGTACCAACATTACAGGTTTGGTGTGTATTTTGAGGGGTACGTTCAAGCAAAGTGTGTTGCTGGTTTATTGGTTTTATGTGTTAAGCCCGCTAGCTGTTCTACAGCAAAGTCAACAGATGAACAATTAACTATGATAATAAATTACTAAATTGACAGCAGATAATTTGAAAAAATGTTTAGCAAAATATCTCGAACCTTTAACACGTTGCTCTGTTAAACAATTAACCTATTTAATGTCCAGTAGCACTGCAGTAAGAGATGTGGGCTAATAAATAAAAATAAGACATAATAGCCTATATAAAAACGCAAGCGAATATTCTATCTGTCATTTTAGTATTTGTTAAAATATCTTAAATATGTTGTTAAATCATTATGGAAAAGAGTGCCCACACCAGGATTTTTAAGTTTGCGTTTAGTAGGCAAATGTCGCACCTGCTCTGTCTGTAATTGGTTGAAAACTCAGTCAGATTCCACCGCAGAATTATCGGATTGAAAATCAGGGAGGGGAGTTGAAAAAACTCAACGCAACCAACTCACAGCGATGCAGTGCTTAAGTTTCTAAACATCACAACGGATTTCCTTGCACTTTTCAGCACGAAGTTTGCCACTCAAACAATCAAAGGACTTTAAACATTAAACGTTTTCAGTTTTTCTTCAGGTAAGCTGTTTTTTATATATTAGCCTATACATTTTCAATTAAAGCCAATTATTTAAAAGTTTTTCAACCTCAAGCCTACATATCATTACTTTTATATTTATATTTAAATAATTATTTATTATTTAACAGTAATTTGGTACATTAATTTAACATGTCATAAAATCTGTCTCAAACCAAAGTTTGACTGAAACTTTCAAAACATCAACACCAAATATTGTAGCCTGTAGTAGAAAATTTCCATTTTATTTGGCTACTTCATTTTTTAGACATGAAAGAAAAATAATCTTATTATTTTGAAGAGTTTTGAGTTTCGTTGTTGTTGTTTTTAACATGATATAGAAATGACTATCATACAGTTTGTTTGTTTGTTTTCATTTGTAATATCATACAGGATTTTTTGTCATTTGTAATTACGTAGGCTAGTTGGAAAATGTTAAAGTTTCGTTATCGTATAAATTTGTAATAGCTGATAGACATGTTTAATGTTATCATAACAGATATGAAAATGAAAGCATCAGTAAACAAATCTCATTTTACAGAATCATCATGCCACGATCGTTTTTGGTGAAAAGTAAAAAAACTCACAATGTGCACCGACCCATCGACACCAAGCAAAGTGAACAGAAACTCCCAGACCCAACACCCAAAACAAGTAAGTGCCATTATTATATTTTATTATTAGGCCTACTGAATTTATACAAAAGTGCTCAATAGTTGTTATTTTTATTTTATTTTATTATACTTTGAACTATTGTATTTTAAATAGCTTAGCATTTAAAAATTAATTGAACTTGAACTCCAAATTCACCTGTCTGACATATGTTCATGAGATGAACAATCCACAGTAATATATAATTAAAATGTTTTTTGGTTTTGTATGTTTTATGTTCATTTACATCATTATGAATCTCTAATTCTCCCATGTGGGGTAAATAAATGATTTGTCTACAGTGAGTGCTGAGTGGATGTGCTTAGCACCTGTCAGATTGATGTTTGGTGCCTCAGCCTCAGGCTGACTGTTATTTGATTCTAGGGCTGTGTCTAAAACCTTGACAGCTGCTTACTTAAGACAGCATTTTGGGCCTTATGTGCTGTTTACTAAGGTAGCTCAATAGGTTGTATTCCATGGAAGTCCGTAAGCTGTTGAGCAGTTAGGCTGGATGTTACGAATATGCAAACTAGTCCTATTCAAACAAGAGAGCAGTATTGTCACTGGATCAAAACTGCTCTTTATAGGGTTCATTTGGAGAAAATGTAATTGTGTAATTAAGTGTGAGGAACAATCTCAGATCTGTCTAATGCTGTCAGACGTTTTCATGTACACACCTCCATTTTATTGCATAAATAGTCTTATTTAAACATACATGCTTTATCTGTTTTCCTTTAGAAAGGAGCTGCCTGAGTGAATAAAGTGGCCATAAAAATGATTTGGACAGTTAAGCGAGAGTTAAAAATATATGAATGTTTTTGCATCATAATGTCATTGCATTAAAAAACTAAATATAAAACCAAGTGGCATTTCTTTTTGAAAACAGATAGCACAAGCTTACATTTGAAGCAAAACAAACATTTTAGTAATATTTCGTTTTCTAATGTATTGATGTTCAGTGTTTGGGGGGACACATTACATTCTTAAAGTTAAAGGTTCCTTATTAGCATCTAAGATTCCACAAAAAACCTTCAACACCCATGGAACGCAAAAGTTTCTTTATAGTTGAAAAAGGTTCTTAACATTTTTAAAGTGTTGTTCACACACACAAAAATTTAAAATGGTTCTTTTAAGAACATCTGCTGAAATTTTCTTTGAGGAACCAAAGATGGTTGTTCTGTGGAATTGATGGAATTTTGGAACTTTAATTTCTAAAAGTTTGTTATTTTATTAAAATTCATTTGCTGCAACATTGTACCACACGCATTTTTCAATCTTGTGATGTCATTTTATTAGTCCCAGCACTGGTCCCTTTGGAACCAAAGGAATGTAATTCCCCAGAGCAGCCCCAGGTAGATTCGGTCCCTCGGCCGTCCCACAGAGACCCGTATGACTTCATCAAGTGTGAGCGAGAGCCCGACTGCACAGTACCATCTCTACCTGAGCTGCCTGTCACAACCAGACGGCAATTTTACTTATCTGGTGAGTGTCTGAGCACTGGCATAAATATCTGAATGTGTACATCTTGTTCTTCTATTAATAAAATATTGTCAAGTATCATGTAACATCTCTAGGGCAGATTTAGACACAATAACAATAATAAACGTAATGTTTCCGCTCTACCTCCAACAGAGTGTCAGCTGGCAGAGTTCCCTCCCTACTACAAGAGCTCTTATACCTGGGATCATGTTCCTGCAACATATGACTTCAGGCAGATGGGCTTCTCTCCATCTCTCCTGCAGCACGCCAGCAGCCTGTACGGAGCTCATCTGAAGCAGAGCTCTGAGCCTCCACAACCACTGGATTGCAGCACACACTACTCACCCACGTCTAACACCTACCACTGCATTACCTGTAATAAGGTTAAATATACATTTAATTATCTATCCAAAACATATTTATTTATTTATTTGAATACGTTTTTTCTGATTCTTTTATTTTGAAAAAATCTAGGTTACACTTTATTTTAAGGTGTTCTTGTTACAATGAAATTATACATATAAGTACTGAGTAATATTAATTAACTACATGTACTTACTATATGGTTAGGGTTAGGATTAGGGTTTGGCTTAGGGTTACTTGCATGCAACTATGCATAATTAATTGTTATTATAATAGTATGTAATGTGTAACAAGGACACATTAAAATAAAGTGTTACCAAAATTATTTTATTTTAGAAAAAAATTCAATTCAATTAAATGATAGCTTTTTTGTTTACAAATAAATTATCTATTTGTTTATAATTTTACTTATAAAAAAATATATATATATAAACGTATTTATAATACAAATGATAAAATGTTTTTTTTTTTATTAAAATGATGAGAAAAATATATATTATATAATAGAATATAGTTTTATATAAATAGTCACATAAATATTGTCTCAGCTTCAAATAAATGATTTTTTTTTCATGCATGTGATTCTTAAAATTCTTTTTTTAAAAATCCATTTTTATTTTATTTATAAATATAATCATTTATTTATAAATGAAATATAAATGATAAAATTAGATTTTGTAATGAAAAAATCTACATTGACAATATATCTATCTATATATCTATCTATATATATATATATATATTACAATCTGAATTTCATTGCTGTTTTCTGTTCTCTTCTCCAGGTGTTTTCCACCCCTCATGGGCTAGAGGTTCACGTCAGACGTTCTCACAGTGGCACACGTCCCTTTGGATGCAGCATCTGCAGAAAGAGCTTTGGCCACGCTGTTAGCTTAGAGCAACACATGAACGTCCACTCTCAGGTAAGAACAAACCATGCTGATCCAGTTAGCTACTGCATTATCATACTGTATCATCATAGTCCCTTTAGCTGGCATTTAGATAATGACTATCAAAGAAATTCATTTTGTTGTTGTTTTGTGTTTAAAGGAAAGAAGTTTTGAGTGCAAGATGTGCGGAAAGACCTTCAAACGCTCCTCTACGTTGTCCACTCACCTGCTGATTCACTCGGACACACGGCCGTACCCCTGCCAGTACTGCGGCAAGAGATTCCACCAGAAATCTGACATGAAGAAACACACCTACATCCACACCGGTGAGACGCCATGGTGTGTGACTGCGTGTTTGTTATGTCTGGGTTGAAAAGTGATCTGTGGCAATGATAAAGAGCACATGCGTTAATGTTAATGCCACCTCAATAACAATTCCCCCAAATCTCTTCCCATATTATTTGGAAATACATGTTATCTCTATACACTCATTCCATGTAAATCATTAAAACTGAATATGCCAAAGAGATAAATTCGCTTCAGATGCTGAAGTTGGCTTTCTAGGGTGTGTTTCTATGAGCGGCACAGCTACAGATAAATCAAGAAAAGAAGATTAAACAAATGCTGTCTTGATTTGCATAGCTGGTCTTCCTGCTTTCCTGATGCCTCTTGGAAAGTTAGCTTTGCATATAGCAGACAGCCACTCCTGTGTTGGAAAACAGAACAAATCTGGGTGGCATTAAAGCAAAGATTCTCAAAGTTTTTATACAGATTAAAATGGGTTTCAAATGACATTTTTGGAAATGTTATGTTTGTTTGCAGGTGAGAAACCTCACAAATGCCAGGTGTGTGGCAAGGCCTTCAGCCAGAGCTCCAACCTCATCACACACAGCCGCAAACACACTGGATTCAAGCCGTTCGGCTGTGATATCTGTTCCAAAGGCTTCCAGAGGAAGGTAGATCTTCGCAGACACCACGAGAGCCAGCACAGCCTTAAATAACGGAGGTTGCACATGGCGTCGCCAAATAAAGACCACCAATGGCTGGAAAAAAGACTGTTGCTTCAGAGGAATGTGTTTCTCTAAGTAGACTCATGTTAAAGGGATGGTTCACACAAAAAATAATATTCTATCATCATTTACTCACCCTCATATTGTTCCAAACAAATTTGTTATTGTTAAATTAAAACTTAAACTAAGAGTATTATTAAAATTGTTTGTAATTGGAATAAATCTGGAATAAAATAATTAAACAAATATTAGATGGAACGCTTAAAACAAACTATATAAATACATAAATTATGTAATTTGATAAAAAATAAATTAAAGATTTATAGAAATATATAAAACTAATAAAAATGAAAAAAGCACATAATAAAATTG